ACTTTGAGTATGTATTATTCTATCTGTATCTGAGATTAATCAGTGGACCTTTCGGTTTAATTTGGATTCTTGTATTTTTTAAAGATTTATTTTGTTCATTAAAAATATAACATGTAGAACATAATGTTTGTGTCTATTTGTAAACTGAGGTGTAAGAAGAATGATGATTGTAAATGATACTGGCTATTTTCACAGATGAATATTGGATCATTGTTTACATTTATTTACATTTTAATTTTTTTTTATTTTAGAGTCATCCTAATTATTGCCATCAAAATATAAAATGTTATTCAATGCAAGCCAGTATTTATCATATATTAGCTGAATAAAAATAATATATATATTATACAATTATACTTTTAACATTTAACAACATTAATGCAGCAAAGCCTATCCAAAACCCCAATAAAATCTAGGCCTCAATCTAGGCCTAGCGCATGTATAAACAACGCGTAAAATTGCGCGTATGAGCCCGTGGAGTTGTCAAGAACGCCTAGTAAAGCCAAAATATTTGCTGTTTTTAATCGAAAATTTTTAAAAATCGGAAGAAGTTGTCAGGCCCATTTTTCACAAAATACAAGAACAGACACTGATTGTTCATTGGCGACCAACGCTAACATCCAGAACAATTGCACAATTTTGTAAAACGACGATAATTACGACCATGTTTAGCGATATTAACATTTACAGAGTTAGGGCGTTGTTTGTTTACATTTTTACTGTAGACCGGCCTTACTTTTCTTGTTAAATTTCATGATTTTTATATAAATTCATGCATTGCAAAAATTTTGTTTAGTAGCTGATACAATAATTAGACAAACAGAACATGAATGGGGGGATATTATACTCATATATTGTTTTTAGCACAATTCTACTATGTACCAAAAAATGCAGTTCCGCTGGGCTCGCACTAGCCTGGGTTCCAGGCCCTAATTTTAGGTTACTCACTCTTTATTGCACTTAGTGCGCGCCATACCTAATTTAATTGGCGTCCCATACTCGATTTCTTTTTTTTTCGAATTAGGGCCTGGGCAAACAATTCATGCGTACGATTTCCCACATCAAATTTGATGTGGGATATCGTCGACTAGAACAAGCTCCAGCTCCCTTTTGGCTACCTACTTGAATTAAAACAGTTAGTAGTTCTGGCCTGCTGAGAACGACATGGACTGATAACCGTAGGCTATAGGCCTACTTGGAACCTTGCTCACCGCTAGCTGCTACACAGATTTAGGCCTTGTAGAATATTGTTTAAAAGGTAGGCCTCTGAAAGTAAGAACTTAAAAATAGGCCAAGCCTTTACTAGTCTAGGCCAAGCCTTTACTAGTCTAGGCCAAGCCTTTACTAGTCTAGGCCAAGCCTTTACTAGTCTAGGCTAGGCCTACTACCTGACTCCAGGCGAGGCCTGAGCCATCCTACTGGAAAGTTAAAGTTTTGTTGTATTTATTTGTATGGTATGCAATCTAGTACAAGCTTAATTGTTTTTGCCATTGCCAACATTAGTCTTACTAGGGTCTATTCTAAATATTTTAGGCCCGTTTTATTAGGGAGGACTATTTAAATTTAGTCATGCCTAACTAGT